ATGAAAACTTAAAGTGCGTCAAAGAATTATTATTCTTACTTAAAAGTTAAAAGGTAAGAATATAAAAAAAATGAAAAATATGTGCTATATGATTAGCATATAATCTGTAACAAAGATAATAACGATAATGATAAGAATAATTCAATATAAATAGAACTTGAGATTGTATAGATTGGTATGGTGGCAAAACAGTAAGAAAATAGAGAACTATAAAAAGAAAATAGATAAAATTAGTGAAATGCAATGAATAGTTGTGAAATAAAAATTAGAAGGAACAATTACTAACCTTTGGAGCAAGTATTCATTAATTTCTTATAAGTTGTTCAATAAACTTGTTTCAGAATTTTCAAATAATATAACATACGGAATTAAACAAAATTGATATAGTCTTTAAATTTTGTATAAATATCGAAATGGTGTCTTGAGAGATCAGAATGAGAAAAATTCATGAGAACTGAGAGCAAATGATAAATATTATTTAGATGATAGATTTCAAGAAAGAATAGATAGACTGTATAGAAGTTAAAAAATTTTCTAATATTAATAAGCAAATATGTTACTATTTGTAGAAAAAATAATATTGCTTATCTAAATATATACTAAAACATTTGAAATAATATACAGTATAATAGAATTATCAATTGTATAATTAAGCATTTATAGACTTATGAATGATATATAGTCTTTAGTTGGTTTCATTAATAACAGCAACACTATTTTAATCTATAAATATTACAACTTATATATGCATGATATATATATTAAAATTAACATTTTTGCCCTCACATCTTGCACTATTATGTCCATTTTAACTACAAGTGTAACAAGCATATGGTTGCTAGTGTGTTTTCTCTATTGCAGCTTTGTATCTTTTAGTTTTAGGTCTGCTTTTATGTTTTGTTACTAGTAGATTAGCAACTGTTAACATAGCTTGGTTTATATTATTATCTATTTCATTAATCAGAGCTTTATTTTCCTTATTACGTTCTAAAAATGTTTCTTCAGCTCAATAAATATTTTTAGCTACTGGGCCATCTCATTATCATCACATTTAACCGCAAGCTGTGCAGCTTGCCGGGCAAGACCCCATATTTTACCATATTTGGAATAGCGAACTGCTACATATCAATTATTGCTGTTACTGAGCGAGGTATAGTGAATGGTTAGAGAATTATTGGTGCAGATTGATTATGTTGAATTGTATGCCTATTTACAAAAATTATGTTTGATTGATCTATCACCTCTTTCTTGTTATCAAGATACTAACACGACGCCACCATTCTAATATTAAAGATAACAATTTGAAACACTAATATTACTTGAAAATAATGACAGCATATAATGCCACGAGAAACATTAGACATGCATGTGCATAAATAGAAAACAGAATCTATAATAATAACAAAATGATTCCTTTTACTATTTCCTAGTCGCTTATCAGTAATCTGCTAAATCTTCTGAATATTATTTTGATCAACTTCTATGATTATCAACTTAAATAAAATTTTTCTTGAATCATAAATATCTTTAATAAATTTATCTTCAATACTTTCTTCCTAGTAATAATACTAAATTAGCCAAAATTGCTTTATAAATTTATCAAAAAATAGAAAAAAAAAATTTCAGAAATTATTCAAAGAGGTATCCTGTAACTATATAAATTCTAACCTCATTAGATAAATCAATTATTTCTAAGTTAGCTAATGTTATACTAAAATATAAATACTGAGCTATTTCAACATGTTCAATAGATAAAATATGTAGTGTCAAATATTCTAAAAATATTTGATCTATAGTAAGAAACATTTCACTTCCAACTAAAATGAGTCTAATACACAAAGATAACGTCTGATATTCAAAAAAACGATTCCATTCTGCCTCTTTTTCAAGTCTGGAATCCAAGGTTTTTACTAAATTATATAAACTGCTGTTACTATGTAATTCACATTTAATAATATTGTTATATCCTTCCACTTACAATGTAGTTTGAATTTTAGCAGTGAAGATTTTGGACGTAAAAGCACAAGCCCATGTATAGCAACTAGAATAAAGAACTCAGTTCAAATAAGCTGCAGAAGATGTGAACTTGTGTAATAAACTTCTCTATTTTACTTCAAATAACTTATTATCCAAAGTATTACTGCAATGAAAAAACTTCTTAATAATATTATCATATGTATTGCCCAATACTACCTTGAGATTCTTTGAGATATTTTGATTTATATGATAAATATAATGTAATTCACTATAGTTTCGTAGACTTGTTTGAGTGCACTGTCTATCACTGGATTAGCATCTGTTACAAAGACTAACGGTTCTGCTCTTATAGCTTTTTTAGTATATCTGAGAATCCATTTATAGGAATCAATGGTTTTGTCAAACACTAATGCCTGTGCTACTAAATGGGACCTAGTAATAAATATATGACAACTTCGTTATTACTATAAAGATTAAAAAAAAAAAAATCTGGTATTATTATCAATAATAAGGAACAAGCTAAGTAGCATTTGGTAATGGTTTGTCTTAATCGTATTGTCATTGAGAATGACATCGTGATATTCTATCCAAAGGGAAATTTGTTAAGGCATCATCCAGAAAAGTCAAATAAAGCGATTGTTATTGTCTAATTCAAATTTGACAATCTACCCTGATTCTTTAGACTGTTTTTTAATGAGAAATGACAAAAGATGTGAAGCATCTGTTCTATAGTTTCGAGACTTGACTTTGAAGTGTTGAATAGTATTTGCTAGATCTGAATTTGTGAACGTTCTATCTGAGTACTTGTCACTTAACAACCAACATTGTATAGAAATTAAAAGATTTCTATTTTTGGTATATAACTCAATGTTGTTCAACACATCTTTTCCAATTGCTCAAAATTTGGTGCTATATTTGCAAGTCTTAGGATTAAGCTCATGATTATGGATTTTGAAGAATGTAGTAACTGTAATACAGGTAGAATCTTTTGAGAAACTTAAATTGATATACTATTCACATCCCTGATATTTAGATTTTTTGTTACAATGGTTATTAAGATTAATTCTCTTTTTAGATTTATAAGTTCCTCCAAATTCACATGCTAAAGACAGATGCTTTATTACATCGTCATTATGATGCTCAACTTTTTTTTTAA